CGTGAGAATGTTTTATACAGACAGACAGACAGACAGACAGACGGACGGACGGACAGACGGACATAGCTAAATCGACTCAGAATTTCATAAGGTCCAAGAATATATATACTTTGTTGGGTCTCAGATGAATATTTCTTGGTGTTACACACGGAATGACAAAGTTATATATACCCTCTATCACCATTGATGGTGGTGGAGGGTATAAAAACAATAAATAAATTTGCAGCTAGCAGTTGCAAAACAAAATTTAATTGCTGCTAGGAAAAACTCAGCGCAAATAAAAATATCATCAATACTAGCCATATTAGTTTAACAGATGTGAGTGTGCGCTGCTATAGCACAAAAATATATTTTTTTCTTGTACAAAAACAAGAGATTAATACTGTTCATTCGTGCTGCTAGAGATTGCAGTGTAACGTCGCAATTTTTCTAGTTAAACATAAAAACAGAACGGCAATATTTAGTAGCAATGTTTTTTAAATCTGAAAAAGTTTAAATATTTTTAGTATGACTAGTGATAAAAATGTGTATTTTGCGGCAAATGCTGACTAATATATTAGTAAAAGTAAACACTGGTGGGGAGGGTATTATACGTTTATGCTTATGGCTGGCTGTCCATGTAAACCTAGTGCGCAAGGTACAGGTCGCAATTTTCAAGATATTTTGATAAAATTTGGACCATACGTGTTTTTCGGCCCATCGACGAAGGCTATTGAAAATGGTTGAAATCGGTCCATTATTTCACCTAGCCCCCATACAACCCTACCCCTCGGAAAGGGCTTTTGAGTTCATAATTATGCTAAATATTGTAGTATCTCTACAAAAATCGGCAAAACTTAGTTCTATATATGTCTTAACAAGACTACCAATTTTCATAATTATCGGACTTTATTTGACCCTAGCCCCCATACAAAGTCCCCTTTAGAAAATGACTTGAAGGTCAATAATTCACTAATAAACACTAGTATCACGATGAAATCCAGCATACATAACTCTAATGTAAACGTAAAGCCATGTACCAAAATTTATAAGGATAGGCCCATATTTACCCTTGCCCCATATAACCTCTCTTTTAGAAAATCACTTTTTTCAACAAATTGTTAAAATATTTCGGAATTAAGGTAAACAACTTAAATGCTTTGTTATTAAATATAATCCACATTTTTAACATACTCAGTGGTGTAGGGTATCATATGGTGGGCCATGCCCGACTATACTTTCCTACTTGTATAATGCATATAAAGAATTTAAAATTATTAAAATTTTGCAACTATTATTTAAAGCCATAAGTCCACAGTTGCTTTTTTTAAATATAGTAATTTATAAAAAAAATCTGTGTTAAATTGAATTTAAATTATTTTTATAAAATGTATTTGCCTTGGTTTTTATTTTAAATAAACCTACACATACTTATTAAAACAAAACAAACCAGAATACATACATATTTGTATGAAAAACGCATGGTCATATTTAGTTTGCCATATAATAGCTGCAGGGAATTAAAAAGCAAACAAAAAACAATACACAATAGTATGAAGTTTTTGTTACTAAACTGCCTGTTTTGTTTAGCTCTGTTTCTCCTTTGTAATTGCTTTGTTTTATTTAAAAATAAACAAATCAACAAGAAATAGAAAAGAACAAAATACATAAAAAAATCATATAAACAATAGACTAAAAGCACAGGACCTCGTTTTAATATAGAAAATCATACTGCAACACAAGTACTACTGATTAAAATAGCCTTAATACAAACACATACACACAACATTTGAATAGTAAATAATAAAAACTAGTAACAGTAACAAAAGTTTGCAGCCAACAGTTCTATATTTATATATATTGTATGTATATACGAATGCAGTTTCTTTTTCTCATATTAATCATGTTGGTCAATGTCATTATAAACTATAAAAACTTTTTTCATCACATAATGCTTTTTTTCTCTCTCTCTTCTCTTCTACCAATTATATTTATCTTCTTGCTTACGCTACAGAGTTATGCCACTTTAAATAAAAAAGGCATTACCACATGTAGTCCACCCTTGGGCGTGGGTTTACCTTATAGTAGTACGCCTACTACATCTTCGTCATTATCATCATATCATCCCACCACACAACCCATGGAAGTCAGCCTATTAAGTCCTAATAATCCATCTGTAACATCATCAATAAGCGAGTACAGATTTCGACCGGAAGTGGTGACAACATCGAATCGCATACAGGAAAGTTGTATATAAATTTACTTGTTGTTTATAATGTTTGCTGTTGTCATTTAACAAATAATAATAAAAACAAACAATTTAATTGTATGTATTATGTAAATTTTTGTAATTGTAAATTATTTGTATAATATTGAATGAATTTGTATAGTAATATTAATAACTAGATTAATTTATAATAAAAAAGAAACAAATATTGTTGTATTTGTAGTATACTACTACTTTTAAATACTACTATGACTGTTAAAAATAATATTTGAAAAAATATATATCTTATACTTTCTTTCGTTCAAATAGTCTAAAATTATTTAATTTAAACAAAACTTAAGATTTTCAAAGTCACTTCAGTTTGTAATAGTGTTTGATTTGTGTTAAATGGAGGCATACTTTTAGGCTTATATTTAAATGTTTCCAAATACCTAAGAAAAGTTTATAAATCAGGCATGGAAAATTTGTTTTCAAAAAGAGTATTTTCAGACTTAAAAGTATGTATTATGTTAGAACTTTTAAGTTTTTATACCCGACATCACTGAATCATCAGATAATGTTAAATAATGTATGCATTTGAACTGAAATATTGGTCATACAGCACTCGCTTTCATATATTGGAATTAACAAAAAATTCAGCATTTCTACTTAATTAAAAAAAAACAATAATCACATTTTAACTATACTCATTATGGTGTAGGGTATCATATGGTCGATCCTGCCCAACTATACATTCTTTCTTGCTTTTCTATTGACTAGACTGTTGAATGTTTTTTTAACCAGTCTATTATCTATGTAGTATTTTGATTATAAGTATATACTAGTCGGCCAGTTAGTCTTTTAACTAGTCCATAGGCTAGTCAATTCGCTAGTGTATGGACAAGTCCATGGACGAGTTATTTTGACTCGTCAGATTTCAAATTGCTTATCATTACCGGGGATGTAAAATTATATTTTCTTTCAATATCAAATAAGTGTTCAGAGTTTATTTCTATGATCTTCACAACACTATTTTTTTCCTATAAGAAATTATAATTTACAAAAAATTTTAAATTTAATTGGCTTATGCCGTAATTTCAACAAATAGATATCTATAGTTTAAAATATCTAGTAGGTAACTTTACCAAAGGGGTAAGTTGACATGTATTTCAAATAAGTACCTATTCATTAAAATTATCAAATATTTTTACACCAAAGGTAACTATGCACTGATAGATACCTATTTGCTGGAATTACGGACATTAGTCAAGGATTATTCTAGTTAAAGTTTTTAAAATAGATATAAAACATTCGAATAGATTTACAGGATTAATTCTTCAAACGCATGCCATTTTTCCCCATCCGATTTCAAAGATTTTTATATTTTTCGAAAGCGTTGGGCTAGATCTCTTCTTGGGTGCGCTCTTTTTCTCTTAAAATTTCCGAGTTATAGGCATTTTGTTTTCTAGATGTAGGGCGTAATTTGAAATAGAATGGCTTCGAATATATTTAATGATATTTTTGTGTGAACATTTTCATTGTCTCTTTTCTTTATAAAAAACAAACTTTCTTCAAATACATGTGACGATTTTATGTTTTTCTAAAAGATATCAGATATTATAGATCAAAAATAGAGAATAAATGTTGTTTCCTTTTTATTCCTAAAGTATCTCTCCAGCCCCACGAGAAATGTGGAACCTATGAGCAAAATTTAAATAATTCCATTTTTGGTAATTGCAGGTTTCCTTTTTATCTTTTGAAAAGTTATCCACAATGAGAAATTTAAAAAACATTAAAAATTTTATTCAGTACTCCAAGGATCAGCATTTTTAATAATTTCATGTTGGAATCGATGCGTATTAAATACTGAACACGAAATAACATTTTTTTTGGAATGATCCTCAGTTCCCTACCTGCGCGCTGCAGCGATTGAAAATCCTGAACTCAGTATAATTATTTAAAAAACAATTTTTGATTTTTTTGAAATGGGTCTCAAAAATTTCGTAATTTTGAGCTGATTACGGGAAAAATAATTTTAATTTTTGAAGAGTATTTTTGGTCTACAAAATTTTTATCGAAATAGGTGTCAAAATTGTTTTAATTTTTAGCTTATACACAAAAATATTTAGAAAATTGTTTGGCGTTTGGTTTGGCCCATTTCACCCGTAACGGAAATCGAGTGAAAATTTTAAGGTCCTTTTACATTTCGAGCAAATCTTATCTTTTAGAAAATATTCTCTTTCCAACTAGATACACAATATTTTTGGGCTTCACTAATGTACCTACATATAAAGATATTATTTTATTTTTATTCAAATTATAATTTCAAAAATATTTCTCCCTTATTTGGCAACATATTTTAAATTTTAATTTTTTAAATACATCTTTTTATTTTTCTATAACGCAATAAATATATTTTTTCGTTTATTTTTATCATGCAATTTTGGATCCATTTATTTATAACAATATTCATTATGGACATTTTTTAATCACTTTATTTTTGATGTGACATTTATATTGATTTCTTATTATCAGTTTTTCAATTTCATAATTATTATTTTTTATATACATATGTATGTATATATTTTACCTGTTTGTTTGTTTTATTTATATTTAATTAAAATCATACATATTTTTGCAAGCAATATTATTTTCAATCAATTTACTAGATTTTATTTATATATGTATTTGCATGGCTTTTATTATAAATATTTAAATTATTAAAAATTGTTATTTTTATTTTACTTGTTTATTTTTTATTATTATTATTATTTTAAATATTAATTTTTTATGTTATAATTTTATTTTAAAACAGGAACCTTATTATCATACACCTAGAAAAATGTTACAGGAATCACATTTATAATTAGCTTACTTTATTATACGAACATATCAAAACATATATTTTTTATAGATGGAAAACATATGTATGAAAATGTTTTTAATTTTTTATAAATACTTAGAAATTATTTTTATTAAAATGTTTAAGTTTTCAATTAATTATATGTAGGTGTAAAACAAATCAATAATATTAAAAGGCCATATCATTCTTAAGGTGTAATTTATGTTATTAAAGTTTGAATTAATATTACCTTGAATTGTGTGACTACAGTAATGCTTACCACCGTCCAAAAAAATATATAAATATATAAAGCGAATAATCTTTAAAAAATCGTTTGAAATGCCTGAAAGACTCAATGGTGAAAACTTGTATTTAAATATTTATGTATTTTCACATTTAGTTACAACAGAAATTTTAGTACTTTGTTATGTATGTATATTAAAGAGTATAATGATCTATAAAATAAAATATACTTGTTTCATTCAGGTAAAATAAGTTTCATTATTGCTTTCATTCGAGTGAAAGTATCACTCACTCGTTCGCTTGAACTTTCAAAATATTCAGTTAATTTCTGCCATTGGCCTAAATGAAAACACTTTTGAAATAATTTTCACTAATCCCAGTGCTTATTCAAAAAATGAAATCCCAGTGCTTATTTAGGAAATGAATCACTTACTAAGTCGATTTAGCTATGTCAGTCCGTCCGTCCGTCTGTCTGTCTGTCTGTCTGTCTGTCTGTCCATCTGTCCGTCTGTGTGCAATTTACAAGATAATTTGATGAAATTTGGCACATACTCTTCTTTTAAGAACAAACGCTAGTGATAATGGTTGAAATCGGTCTATTATTTCGTCTAGCCCCGATTTTGGCTTTTGGGCTCAAACAAAATCGGCACAACTTAGTCGACCATGGCCGACTATACATTCACACTTGTTTTTAAATAGGAAACAGACATCTGAAGTTTTAGTAATATCGAATAATGTTAACCCATAAACTGTGAGGGTCAAATTCAAGCTTTATAATATTGGAAAAATTTCTTGAAACCATAGTGAAATATTATTTTGATTTCAACCGATTAAAATGGAACTTAGAAAAAATATATAAGACCCGTATTTATGACGACATCGAAAAATATCTAAATTAACCCTTAAACGTAAATATATTTTTAACATTATATAAAATGTCCGTATTATATTATTATTCAATGCAAATTTGGCGAGAGAATGGTGGGTTATAGAGAAAAACAGATTAATATTAATCGATTTGGTTTCAAAAGTTTTCACAAACCTTCATTTCGTTGGCCAGTGTAATGCTACCTTGAGTTGAAAAATTAATAGCAAATCCAAAATATTGCTGTATATGTATTTAAATAGTAATGATCTAAATTGGAACATTATTACGAAAACAACAACAATAAATTTTAAACAATTTTTAAAACATAGGAATTTTTCAAAAAATATTTTTTTTCTAATATAAATTTGAATTTTTGAAAACTGCTAACAAACTTTTTAAATTTTTTAATTCTATCTTTGCGATTGACCATCTATCTAAAATTTTCAAACATAATTTCGAAATCTCTTGCCTATGAGATAAAATTAAGAATACATTATTCTATCCTTCTTAGTCAACGGAAACTGATTAATTGACAAGCTTTATTGAACAATACTTAGTTATAGAAAAACTTTAAGTAATGATTTTGAAAAGCAAAGAAATTATGATTCTTTAAAATTTTAACAAACATTATCCGACCACTAATGACAAAAGAGCAAGAATTTTCCTTATATCAAAATGATGGAAAAGAAATAAACCTTGTGTGAGTTAAGTACACCGAACTTAAACATAAGTATTTTCTAACTTAAACTCAAAAATTCGAAATATATGTATGTAGGTCCACTCCTTAATATTTAAAAATTTACTTAGCATTCGCAACAAAGAAAATTATTATCAAAAGCGAATTGAGAATTAATTTTACAATGACAAAATTACTTTTTGCCTCAACAATATTTTGACAAAATAAAAATAAATTATCAAAAAATTAAAAAAATAAACAAAATTAAAATTTTTAACAGTATTATACTCCTTATATTATTTAAAAAGTAATAAATCTCTAAAAGCCTTTTACGTAGGAAAATATTTACTTTATATAATTTATTTAACTTTAACATTAATATACTTTCCGGAATAGTTTTTGTATATTTTCATTGTAAATAAAATAAAAACTTAAAATATGTAATAATATGTATAATACTAATAAAAACATTTTTTTATAAATTAAAAAAATACATATATAATTAATGTAAGTAGATTTAGACTAATAAATTAATTAAAAATTAATAAATTAAAATTTATAATAATTCAAACTGTGAGCAACAATAGAGTATTTACCAGCTACAAATAGCTAAAAAATAATAATAATTAGTTAATAAAAATTTATGTAAAAGAATAATTAATTAAAGTATCAGAAAAAAAAATAAAAAAAAAACTTTGTAAATGTTTGTAGATAAAGTAATATAAAGGTATATACTACATAGTAAATAATAATAAAACTGGTGTTTGTATATTAAAAAAAACAAAAAATACATGTATTTAACTATAAAGAGTTTTATGTACATTTAATCGTTAAGTTTGTAATGAATATAATTAATAATAAATAACTAAAAACAACAGCCACTAAAGAATTTTATACAATAAATTAAATACAAATAAAGAAATATAAAAAATATTTAAATAATTAAAAACTTACACAAAACAACAACAACAAAAAACGATGGCATTGAAACGAATCTTTTTGAGAAAATTATAATATAATTACAAAAATAAAAACTATAAATACAATTTTGTTTAATTAATATTGCCATCAGTTATTTCTATATTGACATTTTGTATGGATAATACATAAACATATTTGTTACTTTTTTATAAAATTTCATTTTAAAATTTTTATTAGTTTTTGGCCTAAATCTTTTTTTAAATAAAAAGAAAATGTTTAGTGAAATTAATTGTAAGTAAATTATATATATAAATATACATAAATTTAATGAAATAGTTTTTAAGTTAGCTTAATTCTAAAGAAAGGAAAAAATAATTATAAATTAAGGTAATAAAGAAGAAAATAAATTATTTAAAGTGAAAGAAATGAAAATAATAAAAACATGGTGTTTTATTTTAATGGTATAACTAAAGTAGTAATAGTAGTAGTGTAGATTTGTCTTTAGTTGCACAGGACTCAAAAAAAAACCCTGTATGACCAAAATGTCCAACTTTAATCCCCTCTAATTCCAATAGTACTAACCTTGATGGAAATTTCATTCAAATCGAGGGAAATCTTTCTGTGACTTCTAAATGGGGTCAATTATGGACCGATAAAATTTTGTAGAGGATTATTGGTTCCTATAAAACTTGCTTTTGTCATATTAGATCGCTATACACAAACATGCCCAAGTCGCCTTAGGATTCACTAAGGACTTAAGATATAACTACATACTTTTACTTTTCTGAAAATTAAAAAAAACTATAAGCCATTTGAAGCCGTAGTCTGATAGTAACATTTGATGAGAATATTTCTCTAAATATGAATGATTAATTCTATAAATAGTTTTTAAATTAATTTTTGGATAGACAGACATCGGCAGTATGGGTCAGATAGAAATTCTTAGAATAATATTAACACATATTCCGAGCTAATGATCAAAAGAAAAGCTTACACGAAATCTTTATTGTTGTTAAAACAAGTAGGGAAGTATAGTCGGGCATGTCCGACCATATAATACCCTCCACCATGAGTATATTTTAAAAAATTTTAATTTTCATAAAGAAACTTTTATGTTGAATTTTACCTTAATTCCAAAGTATTTAATCAATTTATTGATAAAAAAACAATTTTCTAAATATAAATATATAATTATATAGGAGTATAGGTCAAACATGTGCCGATACTCATTCAATTTGGGAAAAGGATATATTTTTAAATAACAGTTAGTTATGTTGAGTTTCATTGCGATACAAATGGTTACAAGTTAATTTTGGACATTTAAGACATTTTTTGAAGGGGGGTTTGTATGGGGGCTAGGGTCAAATAAGGGCCGATAATTACGAAAATCTGCAGCGTCATTTGTACTTATATAAAACATATTTCTGCCAATTTTTAGAGAGATAATAGTATATTTGACGTAATTATGGCATAAAAGAGAGGTACGGTTGTATGGGGGCTAGGTGAAATAATGGACCGATTTCAACCATTTTCAATATGCTTTGTCCCTGTACCAAAAAACATGTTTGGGCTAAATTTCATCAAATTATCTTGAAAATTGCGGCCTGTACCTTGCGCACAAGGTTTACTTGGACAGCTAGCCAGCCAGCCGGACAGACGGACAGACGGACGGACGGACATGTTTTAATCGACTCAAAAAGTGATTCTGAATCGATCGGTACACTTTAAGGTGGGTGTAGGACCAATATTTTTGTGTGTTACAAACATTAGCACAAACGTATAATACCCTCCCCACTATAGTGGTGTAGGGTATAAATATTGACATTTTAAAATAATACTACAAAGAAAAAGTAATGCACTGTAGGTCGAACAAGTAAGATATTCGGCTATGCCGAATCTTATATACTCACCATCAAACCGTATGATGAAAAGGGAATGTTCCCCTATAAATATAAGGGAACATTTTAAATATATACATCGATATACTGTAATCAGCGCAAAATTACGAAATTTGGGTTGGGTCAATTATAGACCGATTGTCGTAAAATTTGATACATACATAGATTTCAGTTCGTATAACACTTATTTGGGGTAGGTTCATTTATGGACCAATCCTCAAAAAATTTGTTAGAGAAATTTTTGTTTGTAAAAAACTTTCTTATGTAGAATTTCATCACTACGCTATTTTTGTAATGAGCGTTAAAAGTTTTGTGAAGGGGACCTTATATGGCGGGTAGGGTCAATTAAGGACCGATACTCATAAATTTTGTTGGAGAGATTTTGATTCATATCAAACTTTTTTATGTCGAATTTCATCGATATATTTATATTTTTTAACCAGTTAAACCAATTAAAGTAATTTTCTGAAGTGACCTTATATGGGGAAGGGTCAATTATGGACCGATCGCCATAAAATTTGGTACATAAGAAACTTACTTATGTCCAATTTCATCGCTATACTCGTATTTTTGCGCCAGTAATGGGCGTATGGGGCTATGCGAAAACGTGGAGCGATATTGTCCATTTTCAATACCAAAAAAACCTTACCCAGAATATATATACTTTTGTGGGTCTATGACCAATATTTCGATGTGTTTCAAACGGAATGAAAAAAACAGTATGCCCTCATATTTTTTGATGGTGGTGCTAATGATATGCAAAACTGTTTTTCAGCTAAGACATAAGAAATTTGATTCTCTAAAAAATTTATAAAATCTTCTTTCGATGTATAATAAGCGAGATATTAGCAAAAAACTGACCTACAATATAACGAGATCAATTTTAGTCACAAAGACGAAGTTCTGAATATGTAGCTTATTTAGCAATCTGAAATTGCTATGTTTCATAATTTTTCGACTAATTTTCCTGGTTTATTACATCATGTTACTAACACATACACCACTGCAACAGTAACTGACTTTATAGCTACAGATTTACTTAAATAGATAACGGTGACTAAATTTAGGTTAATTTTAGCAACGATATTTTAAAGTCGAAACAAATACAAAAACACCAATCGATCTGGAATCATTTCCTGAGTCCATTTAACCATGCCAGTCCGCCGTTCAAAGTACATGTCACAATTTCCAAATAATTTGATTAATTTGGTATTAAGTAATTCATTTGGTCCAATGAGTAAATTTATTGAATTTTTTGATATCAATTCATATTTGCAAAATATCCTGCTTTTTCCAAACAAATATTTGATGAAAATTTATTTTGAATATCACCAAAAAGAATAGCTCAACTCATCTATACGAATGCTAAAATAAATATTTATTTAGTTTAACTTTTTTAATTTTACGTAAAAGGATTTAATTATATAAATACATATACACTGTATTTGTTTTTCATATTTTTTCCTATTGTTGCAGTTAAATATTTTGTGTCAATTGCTGTGGCAAGTTTTTCACAAGAAAAAACATGTATTTATAACCCAGCAGTTCAAAAAAGCAAATGTATCCCTTGACCAATACTTTTTCCAAATTGTTTTAATGAATTGAATTAATTGAATAGTTTTACTTTTACTTACATATGCAGACTTTGAAAAATATAAATATTGCATATTTGACTCAACAAAGGTAAACTATTGCCAACTCAACTGTGTTGGTAATCGATGTAAAGTAGAGTTTATTTTATACTAAAATTAGTACTATATTTAATAGACGGCGGCCCCTAACTGCCGGTATATTTGTATTTGTAAATATTTACATATACATATATGTATGTAACTATATATGTACCCTGCCAGCAACTCAACTAACTTTAAATGCATTAAAAGCCGACTTTTTCATCAACTAGTTATGGTTGATTCTTGGATTATTTTTAATGGAGCCAACTGACTATTTTAACATGGCGATGTCCTACGCAGTAGTCAATTGTCCGACTCTGCATGACTTTTCAACTAGCTTAAAGTTAGTTACTAAAAAATTAGCTTAAAGGTAACTCTTTATTAACTAACTTAAAGTTAGTTGCAGAAAAGTCAAGCAATAGTTTTTTTTGAATTCCCTACTGTATTAATTAATTATATTTTAATTAAATATATTTAAAATTTAACTACTAGTTATCTAAATTACATTTCGCTTTAATACAAGTTATGCTATTAGTTCGTTAAAATTAATAGACATCAGTTTTCTGCAGGGGAACTAATAATAACACCGGTATCCATAAAATTATGAATGATTTGTTCATTATTTCCATGATTCCCATTGATCGAAATCTAAAATAAATTTTAAAATGTTATGTGTAATGTTAACTGTTAATGTATTATATTTACAGTATTAATCAGCAGAATTTAGAATTTAGAGACCGAGTTTTGAAATATTTAACCTTTTATAATTAATTTTTCCAATTTACTGACTCTAATTTCACAACGTATAGAAGAAAATGACAAAAATGTAAAACAAAATTCCAAATAATAAAGAAACATGAGAAAACATGTCGAAACAAAATGCTCTCCAGATAATTTTGGGGTACTCCCGCATTATATGATAGTTAGCTTGTAGCTAGTCTTTAAAAGTAGGTTGTTTACGTTAATAAATACCAAATTTTGGAACATTTCTGCATTACATTGCTGTTCGTTTATAGTCAGTCTACTAAAGTCAACAAATAGAGAAACAAGAGAAAACAGGTTGAAATACAGTTAATTCTCTCCAGATAATTTTGAGGCACTTCTGCATTACATTATAGTTAGCTTGTAGTTAGTATTTAAAAGTCGGTTCTTTACGTTGCCAAATAAAAAATTTCGGGACAGCTCTGCATTACATTGTAGTTAGCTTATAGTCAGTCTGTAAAAGTAAACTAGAAGTGAATTTTTCTCGTAGTCGACTACAAAATTGCTGGCAGGGTATTTATAAACTAATAGACA